CTTATATACAGAAAACAAAGATTACAGAGGTCTTATTACTGTTGCCTTTTAAAAAGTAGATGTTTACGGAGATTAAGTTTCTGAGTTGCTAAATACTATTTTCTTTTGTTTCCTATCAAGTTAAAAGCCACTTAAAAAAAGATGAAGGTCGATTAATATGTCATGAGAGGAATGAGTTATTTTCAATTTGAAATATTATATAGTAGTTACTTTTAAAGGTTAGCACAGTTCTGGGAAAATATGATGAGGGCTTAAAAAATACATCAAAATGTACTATTAAGTGCTGCACAGTGAGTGGAGGCAGCCACAAGCCAAAGAGACAGAAAGCTGTAAATGTCTGTCAGAGCCACACCTAAATTATTTTATCAAGTCTGATATGCTTGACTGGTTCAGAAAGTGCAAAGCAATGCTGGGCACAGAGCCTGAAATGTGAGGGTGGACTCAGTTCCCCAGACCTTCCCCCCGAAAGTGAGGAAGCCCAGGAGATGCTGAGCATGGCTCAACACAAGGCACCCTTAGAGACTGGCCTTGAGGGTGACTCAAACACACTAAGATAGAAAGAATAATCTGGAAGTCACACATTTGTCCCCAACAAACTAAGGACCAATGACATTAAAATTAAAGAAGAGGGTCTTTGTAGGGGTGGGCAAATCAAAGCAAAACCAGTAGTTTAGTACTTGGAATTCACAAAATGACTCTTGGAGTATCCTTCACACTATTTCAAGTTGGAAGATATTAGAAAGGGTTAGTAATGGCAGGGTGTCAGATTTTTTTTTAAAGTATTTGTAGAGCAAAACTAAGATGATGTGTCAGGGTTGGGGGAGAAATAGTTTAAAGTTGGCTTCTTTGATAGACAACCATAGCTTTATCTTTGATCTTTATTGTAAGGAACAAGGAAAACTTGGGTTTCCCAGGCAGCAAAACATTGGTCCAAGTCCTGGCCCTACCACTAGAAACTTGCCATGTATCACCATGAACCAGTCAGTCTCCCTGGATCGCAGTTCCTTCCTCTTCCCCAATATACTGTGGGAGAATCAAGGGCAATCACAGCCATTGTGTCAATAGCTAAAAAGATCCTTCCTTAGCTCTTAAAGTCTCCTTCATTCAGGTCTCTGATCAAATATTACTCCCTCAATTTCCCTGAATATCATATATAAAATAATACACTCTTATTCTCAATCTTTCTCTAGTTCATTATCCTGCTTTGTGTTTCTTGTTGGTCTCTGTCTCCACGTGAAATGATGCATTCATCCACTTACTTCTTGATTGCCATGATTCCCGCTAGAAAAGGTTCTGTAAGGACTCTGAGCAATATCATGCCTAGACAAGTGACTGGTACATAGTGGTGTTCAATAATACCTGATAAATTAAAGTTAGTTGTCATAGGACCTTACAAAATAACAAGGAGTGCCATACATGTGGGACAGATTATCTCAGGTTGAGGTTATGTTGGCCAATCCTGAAGACTACAGTCACCCAAGTAACAGCTTCCCCTGCACTGAACGTCTTTCAACTCCACACCTTAGCACCATGACTCTATTCTTCCATTTGTCCCTTAAATATATGATAACAGCATGTTTATATTTTTCGAATAACATTATTTAATGCACATGGGGAGACTTGAAATCCCTTTCATTTGAAGCTCCAGGCTATGTATTAATAATATAATAATAATATATTATATATATTATAATAAATATATATATTATATAATAATATAATTAATAATATAAACTAGTCCCTACAGTCATTACAGTATCTGTAATGAATAGGCTCTTCATTTCTAAGTAGACCTTTCTTTCTTGCACTTGTTTCCTACATTCGTTGTTCTTTTCTTGCTCTCTGTTTACCTCTTTATACCATGGTCTTTTATGATCCCCTCTTTTTTTTTTTTTCTCCATCCTCCTGCTGTCTTTGCTAAACCACAGGTCATGTGCAGATTTAAAGAGTCTCACTTAGTCTTGGATGGTTGACTACCTGTGAAGAGGCAGGAGGAGGGTGAAAATCTGCCTGATGTGGAAGGGCTTGGCAAATGCACGCTACAGCTACTGGAAGGCTCAGTCTTTGGGCATGAACAACACTCTTGGACTTACAAGATGACCACAGAACTTGCCCATATCTGTGGGTGATTCATCTTAGAATCACTGGATTTTAGAAGTGGACTGGATCTTCGAAACTGCCCACCCCGATACCCCTAATTTACAAATGAGAAAATAGAGGCCAAGAGAGGTTAAGTGACTTGCCAGGGGTCACAGAGTTAATGAGTTGACAGGGTGCAGAGACCCAGATCCCGTGATAACCGGACCAGAGTCCCAAAGAATGAGTGTCAGGAAAGCTCAAAAACTCAACTAATCAGAGAAGTTGGGGGGCGAACACTGAGTAACGTAAAGGGTAAATCAATCCATGACTTAAGATATTTCCAGATATTCTTTTTTTTTAAGAAAGTCAAATAAGCATGCAATTAAGAAAAATTAGACTAAAATATTACACTGTTTTTTTATCTTCTGTTCATTTGTGCTCTCATTTCTAATAGATCTCAATATAATATCTTATACACTTAGTGACTATTCCATTTTGCTGACCTCTAACTTCTGCCTTCCAGTAATCAAAAGCAGCTGATTTTAATGTGCCAGTGCTTTAGTGTGAAGGAGGTTAAGGCTGCATTTGTGTGCAATCAGGTTAAGATTGGCTCCAACAGGAGAGAAATCCATACATATGTTGAAAAGATCTGAAAAAAATGCCTGTATTCCCAACCTGATTATGACTTACATTTTTGCATGGTTTGTCAAAGCAGATCACTGAAATCAAGTCAAGATGTAAAATGGGATAAAGTGGTTTTCTTCTCCATTCTTCCATTAATGACCATGACCTACTGAGAAAAAGGAACTTTTCCCTCTCTCACCTGAGGCAAGGTGGGTTACTTCACTGGAAGTTATGCCAATTTTTATCAATTGGAGCTCAAGTTACAAAATTAATTTTCTACTTTTCATTTCCTACATTTGTAAACAGAAGCTTTTTATTGGAAAGTAATCTTCAATTTCTATCATCAGTTCTACTTTAGTTCTTTTTATAAAATACTAAACCGTAAAACAAATTCTAATACAACTTTTCAAACCTCCTAACTTTAAAGGTTAGATAAATATTGAATTTATCAAACCGAAAATGTAGATGCAGGGTTAGAGTGATAGCTGCTCTCTCCTAATAACTAATACTTGGTACAACCTAAATTGGAATTAAATCCAAGTTCATTACTGGTTCACTGGTCAAAAAGAGCTTATTAGCAGATGATACATAAATGTATGTTCTGACATAATTTTAGCTCCTGATAGTGTCAGGTTATATTCTATTTAGTATTGCTGGAAGCAAAAAATATAAAAATGCAATAAACAGTATAGGTTAACAATGTAGCTGTTATCTACAAAATTCTCAAGCCAGACCAGGACTAGGTCAAAATCATTTCAGAGGGGAGGGGAATGTGCCGGTTCCTCTTACACATAAGCATGTTTGTTATAGGAGCATTTTCAGGTTAATTTTTGCTATTAACGTAAACCACAATTGGGGGACCACGTTGCTGGAAGAGGGATGGTGGGGGGTAGTTACATAAACAATATACAACAAAGAAAGTCTTTATTTCCAATACCTGAATACATCGGGTTTGTTTTTAGGCACAAGGTTGCAGGTTAAATGCTCTCAGCTATCCAAGAAGTGGCTTATTAGTTTTGTAAGAAAATATTTTCTTTTATTTTGACTGAAAAATACTCAGTTGAACTGAACAAAACCATCCTTGTTAGTGAAAAGCAGACCCAAAAAAACTTTGTTTCGAAGCCCCAGCAAAGGAAAGCAAAAGTAATTCAAGAGGAAAATCCGCCTTCCTAATAGGAGCTTCTGAATCTGGATCTAATAGTTCTCAAAAGCCGACTGGAGTCTTCAAGTCTTAAAAGTTTTGTCTTCCTCCATGGATCATAGACCTCTCTGTGAGGAAGCATAATAGGAATATAAATCCATGTAAGCAGATGTATATTCTCTTTCTGGGCTATAGCCACAGAGCTGAAAAGCTACATACCAATAACAGGGGCTAAAGGCTGAAAAGCTATGTACCAAGAGCAAGAATAGAGGCAAACAAGCATTTTGATTATTTTCAAGGGCAGTTTTCCAAACACCATTTTTTTTTTTTTTTTTTTTTTTGCTTTTCTATTTTGTGCACTAGAAAAATCCCCACTTCATCTCTGGCAATGTAGCATCCGCTGGTGATAAAATAAATCGTAACAAGCGATTATGCTTTAAGAATCACAGTGACATCACTAAAAACTGCATTTCAACGTCCTGACTCAGCTTCAGCCAGCACCTGAGCTGTGTACACTTCTCCTCATTTGTAAATGGGCCTAATCCTGTTATTACAGAATAATTACCGCAAATCAGCAAAATTACTACAAAGACATGAATAAACACACACATACCAGTAGCTGTTTTCTACAAATTATTATCCAAACAAAAGGAACCGGCTAATTGTGGTAACATTAAGACAATATTTATTCCTCCCAGTGTTTGGGCAAGTTTATTTTAAGTTGTCATCTTCAACTAGTAATGATCCAGATGATTTTACAGATTTCATAAACCCTCCTAATCTAAACTCTTCTCAACTGAAAGTTGGCCACTTCCCTCAGAGCAACATCTGCCAAGGCCTGCTTTCATCAGAACCCACTTTTATGACACATCAGCAACACACACACACATACACACACACACACTTTTCTAGAACTCTCATTTTAGAAAGTTCATTTGTCATGTAGTCTACTAAATCATTTTCAAGGTATCATGAAAGTGAAATATTCACTTTATGTTCTTCACAATTTAAGCATTTGTCTCTTATTAAATACTGTGTACAGTTTACCCTGTCACCAGTAATATTATTGGGTTTCTTCTATGAAGAGGGAAGACGGCTAGGGAAGAAGAGAAGTCAGAAAGCACAGAGGCCATCATCATTAATTCTCTAAACTCACCTCCCGGACAATGCCTCATGGCCATCTTACATCTCCTGGATTCAGCAATGGTTGGACAGGGTATCGTGTCCTTTGCTGGCTTTTTAACAATTTGCCGTGTTCTGGTTTCCAGACCCCATTTAAATCCACATGTGCGATTATTTCTGCTACAAGTTCCCCATTCACTCCAATGACCAACTTCACATCCTTCTAATAAAGAAAAAAGAGAAAAAATACGAACACAAATAACAATTTGGTGTCGATTTGCTCCACTGTCCAACTTATATTGTTGTGTTTCTCCACACCCCCTTCAGATAAATTAAGTTTTACAGCCCACAAAGACCTGTATTCCCCTTTCGGGCACTTTAATATTTTGAACCATAGGGTTACTTTCATCTACATCAAGGGTCTGCCACATAACTAATTTAAAAAGTTTTACTTTGTATTTGTCTGGGTTCATTTTTTAAAGGAATGCCATTGGTCCATTCTAAGGACTCTGAAACATAGAGTCTTTAAAAGATTCAATAGCCAAAACCAATAGAAAAAAATCCTCTTTTCCAATTATGACAGAAGACAAAATTTTACAGGTTAATTCTAAATGCCCCCACAGAAATTTATAAGTGTGCTGGTTTTTATTGCGGAAGCCAGTACTCTGTGAAAAGAATAGGGAGTTTGTTTTTGCATCTTCTAAGTATCAAAATTCTTTCAATAGGTGTCTAGAAACCACTGTCTGTATCTCTCATTCCCTAAACTGGTGCTCTATATTACTATAAGCAAGTATGGTCAGATATTTGAAAATGTAGGTTTTTATGTAAAAGCTTTTAGTATCTCCTTTTGTAAATTCATATAGTGGAGACACAGGCTACCCTCCAAACACCTAGGGTGGGGAATAAAAGGATAAAAATATGCAAAGTTAAACTCCTCAAGGAATTCACCGTGCAAAAGCCCCTTTGCAGTAGCAGAGGACGACTAAGTCCCCGAGTCCACACAGTATTTTGGCATTTCAGATCTCAGCAGGCATAGTGGTTATGCTTAGATTTTTCAAAGCTATTTAAGAGTTTTTATTCAGGGAAGTACATAGGGCTCTATTTGTATATTTTTATATTTAAGGTTTTCATAAGAGTTTCCACTGAACATTTGCAATGGGTGTGGGTCTTGCCTCCCAAAAGCAAATTCAACATTCTGAATATTCTCTTCTGATGACCTGCCTTTTTAAAAATAGGTTATCACTTGTATGGACATATTAACCCACACGTAAACAGAAATATTAGTACACATTTCCTCAAAATCCCGTTATTTGAATGTGTTCTCTGTAGGTCTTCAAATAGATCATTACAGACTATTTCAAAAATATTTCTGCAGAAATAAAGTTCTCATTTTTTTAAGTTTCCATTTTAAGGGGATGGAAAGCCTCACTTAATATACAAATCTGTTATAAATCCTATCACATGTATAACATGTCAAAATCCAGGGTGGGTGGTGATGCTGCTACACCTGGAGATTAGATTCATTAGATTAGGCATCCATCAAAATGTAGGTACTCACAGATCTTTACATTCCAACCAGCTGTATAAAAATATCTAAGTGTTTTTCAAACACTCAAAAAGTGTAACATTTTTTAAATGTGTACTATTTTTCATGAGCAGTATATATTAAATTATACATTCTAGATATCTAAATTGAGTAAAAAGTAACATAGTTTAAATATACTTTCCAACATGCAGCAAATAATTGACAAAACATTTTGCACAAAATTTTTCTTTTCAACTTTTTAAATGGCTAAATGGGAAGCTCCATAATTAAGGTACATTAAAAAGTGGGGCACCTGGATGGCTCAGTCAGTTAAGCGTCTGACTTCAGCTCAGGTCAGGATCTCACAGTTTGTGAGTTCAAGCCCCACACTGGGCTCTGTACTGACAGCTTAGAGCCTGGAGCCTGTTTCAGATTCTGTGTCTTCCTCTCTCTCTGCCCCTCCCCCATTCATGCTTGCTCGCGCACTCTCTCTCTCTCTCTCAAAAATAAACCTTAAAACATGTTTTAAAAGATACATTAAAAGTGATAGAATAGTTCACGGTACTGCTTGAAATTTTGCTTTTTACAACTTCTAATCTATGTATGTATTACGGATGATAAAAACATACCACCGTTTAAGTAGTTGAATCTAGCCAATGTATGACTAGCAAATTTTGTAGTAAGATTTAATGTGAGACTACCAATGTTATGATGCCTAAAAAAATTCAGCAAGGCAGCAAAGAACTTAAATAATTTTCAGTTCTCATTAACAAGAGAACCAATTTGTTTTTAGGTTGAATATATCCAGCATGCATCATTTTTTCAAGGAACAGGTGTTAAAATAAAAGTTGACATTAGAAAGTTACATGAAAAACTACTCACCCACACATTCCATGGTTTCATCTAATGGTGAAAAACCATCTGGACATTCATCAAAGCAACGGCCTCTATGCAAATAAAAGCCTACTTTGCACTTGGTACAAAAGTCTTTGCTAAAGCAAGAATCACAGTTTTCTATTCTGCATCCTAAAAACAATTTTAAAGAGAAAAAGAAAGTTTCAGTCAAAGAACTTTACTTGTTTTGCAAATAAAACTCACAAATTTACCGGTTAGCTCAATCGAAATTCTAGTGGTCAGAAAAATATGTGTTCAACTCATTTGTTTCCTAATGCCATCTCATTCTAAATCACTCCTACCTCTTCCAACAGCTCACCACATCAATAGGCTAAGAGAAAATTCCAGCCTAGGGCCATAGGCAGAATAAGACCCTTCAGAAAATTTTGCAACTCGAAATGAGATTAAAATAAAGGATTAAAAAGAAAAAGAAAACACGCCCACTACAAATTACATTGCTGCTGGGATTGAAATCTGTTCTACTCTTCAAAAGACCTACAATAAAAAAACACAATGGGAATTCTCTAATCAGTATCTTCTGTTTTCAGGATAGTTAATTAAAATTCTCTTTAATGCTAGTCAGTGCTGACATTTACTTTCAGCAGAAGGGGTCTTAACTTGGAGGGGTAGTTTGAAAACCTACAATGCACCAAAGACCTTACATGCATTTCCATTTAGTCTTTATAATAATCCTATAATGTGAGCACTAGTATCCCTAGTTTGCAAAAAAGGAACTTGAGATGAAGAAAGAGGAAGTCACACAGCTAATAGTACCTGAGTTGGTTCTGAAAGGCCCCCAAACTGATTGCCTTCTAAATCTGTATTCTTTTCTCTATAACATACTAACAGAATTTCACTAGGAACAGTTTGTTAAAAAGAAGTGCTGTTAGGTCTGCTATTTCTGGGTTTGAATCCCAGCTCTCCTCGTAGCGGCTCTCTGGGCAAAAAACTTAAAGGGCTCTGAGTGTCTATTTCCTTCTGTATAAAACAGGGACATCACTGACCTTCAAGACTATTACTGTGGAGATTTGTAATAGCATATGCAAATTGACTGGCTCATAATAGGCAGTCTGCACACAGAAGCAACAGGAGATTAGAAACCTGTATTTTTCCCACTAAACCACACACATTACAACAAAGTGTAAAAAGAACTAATTTATAAACTAGTATTCTAGGTCAGATTCCCTGGTAGACCAGTAACATCTGGACTAGAGATAAGTGGCTTACACAGGTGAAAATAAACAGACTCTACTCTTCCAGGGGGAGGGGCAAGATGGCGGAGGAGTAAGGAGCTCCGTACTTGCACTCGCGCCCATACATCACACAGAAAAGATCTGAAGCCATTGGAAACCTTACGAAACCTGAGAGATTGGGAGAAAAAGGATGCAGAATCCACTGAGAGAGCCTTCTAACATGAGTGCGAACTGGGGAAGATAAAATCGGGCCGGGATCGGAGACTCCAGGGTCGGAGGCGATCCCCCTCTACCCTCTACGGGGAGTGAGAGGGAAAAAAGAGTCCGAAACAGAAAAACCTCCGCTCGGGGAAGAAACCTCCACTCGAGGAAAAAAGCTCCGCCCGGGGCATAGAAACACCCTGAGCACCAAATACCTGCACGTCAGGTCCCCTCACGCCAAATGGTCCCCGAGGGGCTGAGCGCACAGACTGCTGCTTTGTGCTGCTCCTGGCGGCTGGGCTTCAGAGTAGCGGCGCGCCTGCCGCCATTGTCCTCCCGGGCAGCTGGGGCCCCTGAAAGAGCCCCGTGCGCGGACACTGGGCGTCGGCGCTCCTGGCTGGCTGGGACTTGAGAGGGAAGGCAGAGAGCTAAAAACTGGGAGATTTGCCCACGAGTTCGTGTTTCGGGTGACTAAACATAGAGGGACCCGGTTTTCCTCACTCCAGCGGGCTCTGCGCACCTGGCAGACAAGCCCCCGCGCATGCTCGCCGGCCCGACCCAGAGACAGAAGCAGCGATTCTGACTCTAACCCCAGAGCTCGGCAGGGGGCCTGGAATTGCCCGAGGGGGTTGCCTGGGACGCTGTGTCTAAGGCACTTTCAGCGGGGCGCGCTGACTGGGATTAGGAGACTGGGACTGGCCTGGGTTGAAGAGTGCAACCAACTTCGGCGGCGCCCCCCGGCACGGAGAGTTTACACGCCCAAAAGAGCGAGGTGCAGCGCTTGGTTCAAGAAGGGACTGGAGCACCGCCACTCTCCTCCCCACAACCGCCGAGGCAGAGCTCCCGCCTGAGGCATTGGATCACGCCACGCCCATCCCTGCCTGAGAGGTGCCCTCCTCCCTTTTTTTTTTTCTCTTTTCTTTTCCCCCAGAACACTGACCTGATTAACTCCAGTTACCAGTCACCGGCTTGCTTAAACAATCACGAGTCCATTCTGTAGATGTAAATTCTACACCTACCGACGTTTTCATCTGTTCTCTCAGGAGTAATTGGACTATACAGTCTCTCTGGATAATACCAGCATCCTTCTCTCACCTATACAACCATATTCTACCCTTTAGCTCTTTGAAAAAAGCTTCTTATCCCTTCTGCCTATTCATTCTATTTCCAATTTTACCTCATCCCCATCCTGTCTTCTCTCTCTTTCTCTATGCTCTTCAACCAGCACTGCATACACATGGCTATTTAACTAGCTGAGAAATCTGGTTACATGCTTTAAACCGTTCTTTGTCCATTGGTTTTCTTCTTTTTTCCTTTTCTTTTCCCCTTTTTGACCCTTTCATGTATTTTATACTCTCTATTATTTGCCCTCCCTCCTCAATCTTTTCTCTTAACTTTTACGTTTTCCCTCTCGGTTTGCATGTTAGTTGAATTAGTCTCTGCATCTGTGTGTTCCTGCACCGTGTGTGTTTGTCTGTTTTCTTTTCCAGGGCTACCTCAAGAAACAAGCCAGAGTACACAAGGTGGAGAGTCCCAAATATCACTATGAATAGAAAAATAAAATAACCAAGGGCCCAACAAGAAAGACCAAGAGATACCATTCAAAAAACACTCTCTGAAAGGATAGGCCCTGGACAGTCAAAGAGTCATCTTGGATACAGCAGCACTCATAGGTGCAGAGAGCATAACAGGATTTTAAAACTAACAAGAGCCAGAGAGGTAACTAAAATGATGAAATGAAAGAGCTCTCCTCCAAAGAAACTCCAAGAAGAAATGACAGCTAATGAACTGCTCAAAACAGATATCAGCAGCATAACTGAACAAGACTTTAGAATAATAATGGTAAAATTAATAGCAGGGCTTGAAAAAAACATAGGG